GACGCAACTTTATCATCTCATGAAATTAAATTAGTTCATAAAAAGGTTATCTCTCGTAGAATCCTGCCTGGAGAAGGGGGCATAGTTACCACACTTACCACAGTCATATCGGATTGGACAACATACTCCTGGCTGATAAACAGGCCGACAACCTTCTACTTGCAACGTGCATTCTTGCATAACACATGCCGTCTTGTTTCGGATGCAGTAACAGAGTTCACATGGATTGCTAGGATTTCCTGGTACCTGTTAAGAAATCAGTGCACTTTCATTGTTTATTCTAAACTGACAAACATTGATACGAACGTCTCATAACCACTTATACCTTACCTGTGCACCATCTGTGTAGAAAGTACTGTCGATGGTGCAGCCGTGATCATCGAGTTGGCCGATGGCCGTGGTGGATCCGGTAGGAGCCGGTGAAGTCGTCGCTGCTGTTGAGCTCGTCAACAGGTGTACAGGAACTGCAAACCACGTGACGTTCTTTTTTAGACACCGTATTGCAACAGCGTGTTATGTTACTATTTAAGTTTTTTTATTTTCAAAATTAACAGGCAGAACTGAAGAAAAGTTTTAATACCTTCAGGGCATGTGATAACAGGGCAGCACTGGTCGGACTTCTTCTCAATAGTGCAGTCTTGTCCAATGCCTTTCGTGAACGGACAGACTCGTAGGTAACACATAAGCATCCTATTGTGGCAGGTACAATTAAGGCAAGGTTCATTGGTAATGATGCGATCCCCTTCATCGTAATGCTGGAAGTTGTAATAGCAGCCTTTCACATCTGTACAAAAGAGTCAATATTCAGCAGTCTCCTTCCAGTATAAAGAAATTCCTGATGGTTTGAGACAACACAGAAAACCATGTTCATTAGAGCAGAAGTATAACTGAATGTGTTTATAAAAATTAAATGTTTAACAAAGTATTAGTTTAGTAATTTCATTATCATAAACCCTTTTTATCAACGCATAAATTATAAAATCCTACCCGGTTATATCCATCGATGGGAATATTAAGTAAGGAAATAATTCTGCAGAATATCCCTTGAAATTCAGATTTAGAAAATCGCTCTATTGGGCTTGTGTACTTTTGAAGACGGAGGTTTTATAAAATAATTCACACGACCAATCGTATCTTATTTTTATCAGGATAAAATCAATGTTCAGGAAAATTAAGTTTCGTATTGCGTCAGCTTGTTAATACCCTATTCACAGAGCGCCGTGCTACATCGGCAACTTATCGTGCACTCGAGTGAGACAGGTAGACTAGCGTGAAATCTGATCTACGCACTGTGTCCATGTACACGGTTTGTCGCCTCGATTTCAATTGTTTGGCTCTGCAGGGAAAGAATTTTGCAGTCAAAGCAAATTTGCTATCGTTTCAAAATTATTTAACTTCTGTGCTCTCCATACCAATGGAATGAAAATTGAATCCATTCTTTCCCATGTCCGTATATTCAACCGGTCGGAGTCTGAGAACATAATGCGGGAGACAATAGTTTGGCGAAAGAGACAGGAAGTAGGCAGGAGGAAAGAGAAAAGTGCATAACGGGAAACTTTTGTACTCTTAGCCAGTAACGGTGATCAACTCAAGTAAAATGAAATGCGTGGGACATACAATCAGAAAAACTTGAAGAATATAAAAACTTATGCATAGATTGAGGAGAATATTAAAATGGAAAAATACAATGCGAGTATATGGACTGCGCTCTTGTGACTCTGCGTAGGGTCATTCGGCGGGCCCTTAGGAACACGGTGCCATAAACAAAGGGATTTCTTAACCACGCAAGAGACTATCAGCTTGACACAAGGTTAACCTATAAACAAAAATTAATTCAAGTTTTCCAAGCCAATTATTAGCTTTAAATTCAACATTGTGCGCGAAATATTGTTAATGATCTTACGTAATGAAAATCAGGAATAAAACTTCCCTTCCAGCGAATACTGAAAACTAATTTTAAAATCCGTGTATATTACTCCACAATTCATAATCCACAACCGTACAAACACCCGCTGCTGTTCTCGTAAGCCTCACGACAGAAATAAGAAATTACACTGGCAGTTCAAGACGAGGTGCCCGCAGAGAATCATTTCGACTTGCCAGCTTCACTGCAATGCAGGAGAAGTTGCCGCTACGTCTGGGCGCAGTGTTAGACGATATAATGACGAAAATGTAAGACCTGATCACATGATAAAATAACACACATTGCTGTAGGTCCGCGAGAATCAACTGTATTTATTTAATATTTCAGTTTGAAAGAGTCTGAGGTGGAATAGCTTGGAATTCTAAGTCTTAACGTCAATAAACCCACTAAGTGCCGAATAC